AAGCAGTCACCACTTTTACAACCAGACCTGTTCTTGTCAGTGTTTTTTGCGCTGGAACTGAGCAGAGGACCCTGGACATTGGACTAGGCTTTGCACTGGGCGTGTTGGTCAGTTGGGCTTTGTTTGGTCGGTCTTCCCGAAAGGCTGTGGAGGTCGATTGGGTTCCGGCCGATGTCGCATTTGCGAGCCCGAGACGACGCGGTGGAGGTGTTGTCCAGTTGCCCGCCCGGACAGCTGGCGGTCGTGTGGTATAGTGATGATTCAGTTTATCACGAGCGGCTTATGGTTTGGAGGGCTGGTGACACTGAGTGGTTTGTGCTGACCCCTGACGGGGACTTCTATAGAGAGGACTGGTCAGGCCATTCAGATGAGGGTCCCATCAGCTTCAAACTGAAGAAGACAGACTTTAGTCACTTCTCCCGTATCAGCCAACCAGTGTATCGTTTTAGTTCCTACCCCGATGACGACCGGTTCAGAGAGCTTGTGGAGGAGGCCCTCAACGAGTTAGGTGAGTTAGGCAGTGGCTCCCTGAGTTGGACACCCCGCAAGGTCATTGACATGAAAGGCAAGGAGGTGGAAGCTTCTCTTGACCTGGGACGCCTGATAGTGCCCCGGAGGTTGAGACGTCGAGATGGAGGCTATGTCGCTGAACCCATTCCCTCCCCAGTGGCAGTGTCAGGCTTTCCTAGGTCAGGACTTGCACCGGCCCCTGAGGGCCACATGTGGGTCGCCTTGCATGACACCTCCGCCTTTGACCTTGGGAAGGAGGCCAACGTAGGCTTGGAGAAGGGCATCCAGTTGGACAGCGACCATGGAGCCATCCCTGATGAGAAGGGATGGACCTTGATGAAGCTGCTCAAAGTTGAGAAGGTTCCCGCAATGGTTGAAGAGCGAGAGAAGCTGGTGCCCAGTCGGTTGGAGCTTCGTGGTGTGCCTAGCAGGAGCCTGGAGACTGGCGCCAAGAAGGAGGAGGCTGGAGGTGAGGAAGACGCTGAGGTCTCAGAGGACGCCAGGACTCTGAGTGTTTGCTATGATGATCAAGGAGAGAGATACCGGTCCTGGAGGGAGGCCACAAAAGAGGCAAGGGAGTATTCCTACTCGGACTGGCCCCTGGAGGGGCCCCAATCCGTGCTCCACTTGATGAAGTACATGTTGAAGAATGGTGGCAGCCCCAAGCAATGGTTGTTGATTTGGGCCCGACACAAAGGAGTGCATGACAATGATCGAGTCATGCATGAAATGCGTGCCTTGTTGGAGAGCTTCGAATTGGCAGGCTGCTATGACCAGTTGAACCTTGGCAGTTTGGCCTGTTTTGAAGCCTTGGGACGCAGGGTGCAGAGCATTGTCGATGCCTACAACAGCGGCTCCTCCGCCTCTCCAGATTGGGGGGGCGGCGAAGATCATGTCGGGATACCAAGGTCCAGAAGATCTGGTTTCTCCTTCCCTTCGCACTTGGGCGGCCAAGAAAGGAAAGGAGGAAGTTGAGATTGCAGCCGCCCGGACGAAGATGAGAGAGCACAAGCGGCTGCAGATCCCCACAGAAGATGCTGCCGCCTCCGCCGTGGCTGACGGCAACCTACCTCCCGGCGGACCAGCTGCCAAAGCCAAGCGCAAGGCCAAGGCGAAGCAGCTTGCTCCGCCGGAAGACACATGACTCAGGCGGATGGGGGGGCCCCCTATGTCCTCTCGGGGGGTCTCCAGCAGACTGGCAGCTATGGGAGGACAACGCCCAGATCCAGCCAGAGTGGGTCGAGATTTGTTTCCTTTGCCCTCTCCAACTTTGCCGAAGAAGCCTGTGGCCGGGAGCCGTCGGTCGCAACAGCGTCTGGATCGCAAGTGGAGACACTATGAGACGGTGAAGGAGGCAGTAGACGGCTTGAACTGGCTGGCATGTGATAGTTTTTTGCATGGTACAGATGTTGAACCGGATGGCATTCAGCTGGAGGTTTTGCAGCGAATTCATGAACTAGCCCAGGACGCAGGACGGCTGGGCACCTTGGAGCAGATTCCAAAACCTGAGGCAGCCTTACGAGAGCTGCTCAAAGGGAAGTCGGAGTATCACCAACCCGAAGTCCCTGTGGCTTTGGCTCCCTACAAACTCGAGCGCATTTCTCTCCCGAGCAGCTTGGAGAACCTTCCGGAGGCTCGTGACCTTCTGCCGGAGAATGCCCGTCGATATCTGTTGGGTAGAGAGCTCATGCTTAGGGAGGAGGGCGCTTATGATGCCCCCCCGCCCTTACTGGGACCCTGTTTTGGCGAACAACAAGAAGCATTACAGAGAGTTCATTGAAAAGTTGAACAGTGTTGGCATGTTGCAGTTCACTCAACACCCCAAGAACCATGTTGGAGTTTTCTTTGTGCACAAGAGTGACAAACAGAAGATACGACTCATTGTGGATGCACGGTCGAGCAACGCATTGTTTAAAGAGCCCCCAGGTGTTGAACTTTGTTCGAGTGAAGGGTTCAGTCGCATCGAATGTGAGGTGTCGGAAGGTGTGTTGCCAGGCAGTGCAGAGTTTTTTGCAGGAACTTCAATCCATGGAGCTACATGTTGGTTTGTCCGATGTCAAAGATTGCTTCCACAGGCTCAAACAACCTCGGTGGCTTGCAGAATACTTTTGCTTTATGCCGATCAAGGCTCACTGGGTTGGTTTGACAGGGAAGTGTTTGGATGGGGTTACATTGGGCTGCAATGACATTGTTTATCCTATGCCGGGTAGTCTTTGTATGGGGTTCTCGTGGAGTCTTTATTTTTGCCAGCAGATCAACGAGCATCCGTGTGCCTTGACCAGGTCATTAGGAGACTCCACTTTGATCACAGACAAGGGTTTGCCGGTGGTATTCAAGAGCTCAGCAGTCCGAGACAATGCAAGAGCAACAACAAGGCACTACGTCTATGTCGACAACCTTGGCATTGTTTCCCCTCACCGGGGTGTCGTCCAGTCGGCGCTCCAGGAGCTGGACAGTCACTTTGGAGGCAAAGGACTTCTTCTTCACCCAGGAGAGGTCCACAGTGAAGAAACGAAAGCACTGGGGACAATATTGGATGGCAAGAATCTTTGCTCCCGAATTTGTCCAGAGAGGTATCACAAGGTCAGACAGAGCATCAGAGGTCTTTTACAAAAGCCGCGGGTGACGGGACAGATGGTTGAAGTTGTCTTGGGCCATGCAACCTTTTGCGCATTGAACAACCGTATGCTCATGTCGATCTTCCACAGTTGTTACAAGTTCATAAGAGCACACTACTTTGAACCGGTGGCAATGTGGGAAGCAGTGCGTCGTGAGTTCACAGCCTTTTCAGGACTCATGATTTTTCTTCGAGCGGACTGGTGGCGCCCTTGGAACAGTTTGGTGTGTTGCAGCGACGCCAGTACTACTGGCTATGGGGTATGCACATCACATTGGAGGCTAGAGGATGTCAGAAAGGTTGGTCGACAGAAGGAACGGAGCCGCTTTAAACGTTGTGACAATCATCCAGCTAGAGAGTCAGCCTTAACTTCAGCAGGGTTCATTCGTGATGAGTTGACAGGTGCATGGAAGGCAGGCAATCTTTCAACTGAAGATTATCTCAACCTCAGCGGGTGGAGACTGGACCAGAGTTTTGAGGAGGTTCCAGCCCGCCTGCTGAGGAAGCAATTGTGGCAGCCAAAGCTTTGGGGAAAGTGGCGCTTCAACGAAGGCATCATTATCCTTGAGGCCCGGGCCGCCGTGAAAGCGATGAAGCGGATTGCGATGAGCCGGTACGGTTCGCAGACACGACAGCTTTTCTTGTTGGACAACATGTCACTGACCTTAGCACTCGAGCGTAGCCGCAGTCGTCAGTATGGGCTCCTGAGCCAGGTGAGGGTTTTCAATGCCTATTGCATAGCTAGAGGTATACAGCCCAGCTTCAGGTGGATTCCTAGTGAGTTGAATAGTTCAGACGACCCATCTCGTTTTGGCACGGACGAACCTTCCAAGCTGCTCACCTCGGAGATCCCCCATGGCCCCGAAGAGAACCAGACGGCTAGCCGCCCCGGAGAGAGATGCCCCTCCAAAGGCGGCCAGAGTGGAGCGAGTGTTGAGGCCTGGAAAGCTTGTTGTGCCGAGTCGTTCGAGCAAGAAGGAGGCCTTGTTGAAGCCTGTCGAGACCAGCGAGCTCCTGGCAACAAAGGGAGTGCTGGGAAAACTGCCCACGCTGGAGAGTCCAGGGGAGGAGACCAAAACCCTGGGAGTCGATCTCTCCATGTCCAGCAGTTCCGACAGCAGCAGCGAGGTAGACATGACCAGGAAGAGAAAGAAGTACTTGCACAGTCGCGCCCGACACCGGAGGCGCAAATATGTGGACTTCCTCATAGACGGCAAGGACAAGGATGGGCTGAGTCTTTTGGAGAAGAGAGCCATTGGAACAGCCGCAGAGAAAATGTACCAGAAAGAGCTTCAGGCCTTCAAGGACTATGCAGTGTGTCGGGGACTGGACCCGAAAGATGCCGAGGGGGTGGACAGGTTGATGGTGCAGTACATGAACCATTGTTATTTGGCAGGGCACCAGGCCTATGTTGGAGACCGCCTCATAGCCAGTTGGTTGCACCATCACCCACAGTTCAGCAAGACTGGGGTGAAGAAGATCCCCAGAGCCCTGAGGTGTCTGAAAGGTTGGCGAAGACTTTGCCCTGGACGGTCGCGAGTTCCATACCCTTTGAGCATTTGGTGTGCAGTGGCATGTCTGATGATCAACATGGGTTTTCCCAAGATGGCCGTTTTTTGTGATGCTAGCAGTGTCGACCTACAGTCGCCCCTCCGAGTTGTTGCGGCTGAGGACCTTCAGTTTGATCAAACCGGCACCAGGAGTGACCAGCAGTTGGAGCTTGCTTCTGAGCCCAGAAGAGTTGCAGGAGAGTTCAAAGACTGGAGACTACGACGTCAGTGTCCTGTTAGACTCTCCCTATACGAATTGTTGGCTTGGCAAGTTCCTCACGGTCATGAAGAGGGCCAGCAGCAGCTCGGCCCTGTGGGACTTCGACTACAGTCAGTACCTGGCAGTGATAAAGAAGATTGCCAAGAAGATGGAGGTGCCACTGGAGCCTTATCACACGAGGCACAGCGGCCCCTCCATCGACAGAAGCCGAAAGTACAGGTCGCAGCTCGAGGTACAGAAGAGAGGCCAGTGGAAGAGTTCAGAGTCATGCGTGAGGTACGAGAAAGCCGCCCGGTTGGCTCGGACCTGGGAGCAAGTGCCGCAGAAGACAAAGGACTTCGCCCTGGCTTGCGAGGAGGCGTTCGACGACATCATGCTTGGAAGAAAGAAGTGTCCCGACTCCAGCCGCCTAGGCGGAACGGGAAAGGGCAGTTTGTAGCAGACCTTTTCTCCGGGTGCGGAGGAGTGGCGCTGGCCTGTGAGAGGTTAGGCTTTGTGAGCAAGCAATGGGACATTAGGTTGGGGCACACATGTGACTTGACAAGTCGAAGCGTTGTTCGCAAGTTGAAGTGCAGCATCCGGACCGGGAAGGTCCTAGCCGTGATGATGGCGCCTCCTTGTAACAGTTTTTCAGTGGCTCGTGACCGCACAAAAGTGATTCGTACACGAGAGTTTCCTTGGGGATTGCCTGATAGTTTTTTGACAGCCAGTGAACAAGAGAAAATACAGTTGGGCAATGCTTGCTTTCGAACATGTTTTTTCTTTGATTCGCATGCTGGACCGTTTCAGAATTCCGTGGATCTTGGAGAACCCGGCAAGTTCAAAGTGTTGGCATCTCCCCTTCTGGCAACAACTATGTTCTCAGCCCCACATACAAGTTGTTTATGCCGATTTTTGCCGTTTTGGAACCGCATGGAAGAAGCATACACGTTTTGTTTGTGGAAATATTGAGTTGACGGATTTGCACCGTGTCAATTTGCAGTGCACCGGACGTTCGATTTGCAGTGTTACGGGCAAAGCCCACTTCCATCTCACCGGAAAGGGACCAGGAGGTCGGAATTGGACAGAGATTGCACAACCCTATCCTAAGTTACTTTGCAGCGGGTTGGCGCATGCTCTTACAGCTCGTTATCACTACAACTATGTGTCTTACTAACA